GTATCTGTCTTGCTTATCATTGTATCCCTGACAGCTTGCCCACTGGCTGGCCCTTAATAAGCACACCGTAAATGTTTACTTGAAATACTCATTTTTAAAATGAATGAATGAATGAATGAATGAATGAATGAATGATAGATGGATGGTGGATGGCATTGTGTAGCTAAAAATTGTGTCCTGTCTACCTATTTTTGAAGACCATCCTTTAGTTTGTGTTTCCTGCCATGTTTGAGGGGCCTTTTTTTTTTGTCCATAACTCTGTCTTTTATTTAAAGTAAAACACCAAACAAAAGCACATTCGATTATTCACCATGAAGTTTTAATTCTGCTGTCAGTCTCAACCTCATGTCTTAATCACCTGAGGTCAAACTTACATATGTCTTGATAGTCTTTTTGATGACGATGGTAGTCTGCTTTAATTTGTGTGCTATATGCTCTTGAAATGTTTTGCTATAAAGACACTAGAACTGAATTTTGCTTTATTTCAATGATGATGAATGTAAAAAAAACCAACTCAGTAACATTCAAACCGATTTCCAAGTTTGTTCTTCAGCCAGAGGAACTTGCACACTGACTTTTGGTAAAGGTAGCAGATTTATTGTGTTGTAATTCATACACCATAAAATTCGCCATTTTAAAGTTTCCAATTTAGTGGTTTTTAGTATATTTACAGAGTCATGCAGCCATCACCACAGTATCATTGCGGGATGTTTTCATCATCCCCCGAAGAAATTCAGACCCATGGGAGGCTGAAGCAGGAGAATCTCTTGAACCTGGGAGGTGGAGGTTGCGGTGAGCTGAGATAGCGCCATTGCACTCCAGCCTAGTGACAGAGCAACACTCTGTCTCAAAAAAAAATCCAGACCTATTAGTAGCCACTCCCCATTCTGCTTTCTGCCACTGTGGATTTGCCTATTCTGGTTATTTCACATACATGGAATCATACATTGTATGGCCTTCTGTGTCTGGTTTCTTTTACTTAGCATGATGTTTGAAAGATTCATTCATGTTGTAACATGTATCAGTACTTTGTTCCTTTTTATGGCTGAATAATATTCCCTGGCATCACATTTTGTTTATTAGCTGACAGATATTTGGGTTGTTTCACTTTTTAACTATTATGAATATTGCTCCCATGAACATTTGTGTACACGTTTTTGTGTGGACATGTGTTTTCGGTTCTGTTGGATATATACATGAAAGTGGAATTGCTTAGTCATATGGTGACTCTGTGGGAGATTGAGGAACTGCCAAACTGTTTTCCAAAATAGCTGCACCATTTTACATTCTTACCAACAATGATGAGGGTTCCAGTTTCTCCATATCCTCGCCAACACTTTTTATTATCCCTCTTTTTCATTATAGCCTTCCATTGAGTATCTCCTTGTTGGGTTTTCTTTTTTTTGTTTCCGAGGTGGAGTCTTGCTCTGTCGCCTAGGCTGGAGTACAGCGGTGCGATCTCGGCTCACTGCAAACTCTACCTCAGGTTCAAGCAATTCTTCTGCCTCAGCCTCCTGAGTAGCTGGGAATACAGGCGTGTGTCAGCATGCCTGGCTAATTTTTGTGTTTTTAGTGGAGATGGGATTTCACCGTGTTGGCCAGGCTGATCTCAAACCATGACCTCGTGATCTACCCCCTCAGCTCCCAAAGTGCTGGGATTACAGGTGTGAGCCAGGGTTTGCTTTTCTGTAATGATCAATAAAATAGAGCACTTTTCATGTGTTTATTAACCAAAATTTGTATACTTCCTTTGCGATTTAGCTGTTAAATAAAATCCTTTGTCCATTTTTAAACTGGGTTTTCTTCTTATTGTTGAGCTTTTAAAATTATTTTTTCTTGTTTTTTTTTTTTTTTTTTTTTTTTTTTTTTTTTTTTTTTGTTGTTGTTTTTGAGACAGAGTTTCTCTCTCTGCTGCTCAGACTGAAGTGCAGTGGCACGATCACGGCTCAGTGCAGTCTTGATCTCCTGAGGCTCAGGTGATATCCTCCCACTTGAGCCTCCCAAATACCTGGAACTACAGGCATGTGCCACCAAGCCTGGCTAATTTTTGAATTTCTTTGTAGAGACAGGATTTTGCCATGTTGCCAAGACTGGTCTCAAAATGCTGGGCACAAGCGATCCACCCGCCTCTGCCTCCCAAAGTGCTGAGATTGTAGGCGTGAGCCACCATGCTTGACCTAAAAGTTCTTTATATATTGTGGATACTAGTCCCTTATCAGATATATGGTTTATAAATACAGTTGACCTTGAACAGTGCAGATATTAGGGGCAGTGAACCCCTGAGCAGTTGAAAAGTATATGTATAACTTGACTTTCCAGAAACTTAACTACAAATAGCCTGCTGTTGACAGGAAGCCTTACTGATAACATAAACAGTTGAATAACGCATATTTTGTATGCTATCTGTATTATATACTGTTTTCTTACAATAAAGCAAGCTAGAGAAAAGAAAATGTTAAGAAAATTATCAAGAAAAGAAAACACATTTTCTGTTCATTAATGGGAGGTAGGTCATCATAAAGATCTTCATCCTTGTGGTCTTCACGTTGCGTAGGCTGAGGAGGTTGGGAGGAAGAGGAAGGGTTTGTCTTGCTGTCTCAGGGTAGCAAGAGTGGAAGAAAAAAAAAAATTTTTTTTTAAATTGAGACCGAGTCTTGCTCTCTCTCCCAGGCTGGAGTTCAGTGGTGCAGTCTCGGCTCACTGCAACATCTGCCTCCCAAGTTCAAGCAGTTCTCCTGCCTCAGCCTCCTGAGTTGCTAGGATTACAGGCACCCATCACGACACCCAGCTAATTTTTGTACTTTTAGTAGAGATGGGATTTCACCATGTTGGCCAGGCTGGTCTCAAACTCCTGACCTCAAGTGAGCAACCTGCCTCAGCCTCCCAAAGTGCTGGGATTACAGGGGTGAACCACCACGCTCAGCCAAGAGTGGAAGAAAATTTGCATGCAAGTGAACTTGCACAGGGTCAGCTGTATCTTCTCCCAGTGTGTGCATTCTCTTTTCACTTTGTTGATGGTGTCCTTTGAAGCATGAATGGTTTCAATTTGGGGGAAGTCTAATTTATTTGTTTGTTGCTTATGGTTTGGGTCATATCTAAGAAATACCACCTAATCTAGGGTTATGAAGATTTATTCTTTTTTTTTTTTTTATAATTTAGCTCTTAATTTTAGGTTGATTTCATTTTGAGTTAATCTGAATGTATGTTGTGAGGTAGAAGTTCAACTTACTCTTTTGCATGTGGATATGCTGTTGTTCCAGCACCATTTGTTGAAAATGCTATTCTTTCCCCTTTGAAATGACTTGGCATTCTTGTTGAAAATCAGTTGACCATAAATGTGAGGGCTTATTTTGGGGCTCTCAATTCTATTCCGTTAATCTGTATGTCTGTCTTTATGCCAGTACCACACTGTCTTGATTACTGTATTTGGACTATGTTTTGAAAGAGAGAAGTGTGAATCTTTCAAGTTTTGTTTCCCTCAAGAGTATTTTGGCTCTTCTGGCTCTCTTGCATTTCCATATTAATTTTAGTATCAGCTTGTCAATGATACAAAAACAAAGCAGCTGGAATTTTTGATAGAGATTGAGTTGAATCTGTTGTGCCCACTGGCATTTGGCTGAAACTTTAGCTTGTTACCTCTTTTGGACTAGTTGCGTGGACTTCATTTTGAGCACATAGATGTGATGTTATCAGGATTTGGTTATTAACTTTAGATTACAAATGTTTGGGAACTTAAACATGTTATCCACGGCTGGGCGTGACCAATATGGCGAAACCTCATCTCTACTAAAAATACAAAAAGTTAGCTGGGTGTGGTGGCAGGTGCCTGTAGTCTCAGCTGCTCGGGAGGCTGAGACAGGAGAATTGCTTGCTTAAACCCAGGAGGTAGAGATTGCAGTGAGCTGTGATTGTGCCACCACTCCAGCCTGGGCAACAGAGCAAGACTCTGTCTCAAAAAAAAAAAAAAAAAGAACAAAACTTTTTCAACATATAACATACGTACAGAAATAATCAGCGTTTACTTCAATGACTGTTTACAGATGTGAGGCACACTTACGTAACAAGAGGTTCCGGATCTAAAAAGGACCGTTGCCAATATCATTGAGACTTTTCGAGTGCTTGCTTTGATTCAGAGTTTTTTCATTTTCCTGGATGTTCTAGTAGAGCTGGAAGGCTTATCCTTTTTTTTTTTTTTTTTTTTTTTTTAAAAAGACTGAGTCTCGCTCTGTCACCCAGGACTGGAGTGCAATGTGCTGCGATTCCGGCTCACTGCAACCTCTGCCTCCTGGGTTCAAGTGATTCTTCTGGCCTCAGCCTTCTGAGTAGCTGGGATTACAGGAGCCCACCACCACACGTGGCTAATTTTTGTATTTTTACTACAGACAGGGTTTCACCATGTTGGTCGAGGGTGGTCTTAAACTCCTGACCTCCAGGTGATCCACCTGCCTCGCCTCCCCAGGGGTGCTGGGATAACAGGCGTGAGTCACCACGCCCAGTCAGCTTATTTTAAATGTGTATTTGGAATATCAGTAGGTAGCATAGTGAAGTGGTTGAGATCATGGACTTTTGGCCTCAACTGCTGGGATTCAAATTCTAGCTTTACCACCTATTAGCTGTGAGACTGTGGGCACATTTCTTAACCCTTATGTGCCCCAGTTTCCTCTTTTGTAAAAGGGGGACAAAACTACTTCATCGGGAGGATTAATATGTAGATTGCGTGGAAAATTGCCTAATGATCACAGTAAGTGCCATATGTGTATTAGCTATTACTCATATTATTACTTTTATTGTTGTTATTTTGTATTTGTATTTCTTTAGTGGAATATAAGCTCCTTGTCTGACTTGTTTATCATGATATGCCCAAAAACTAGCACTGTGCCTGGCACATAATAGATATTCAGCACATTTTTGAGGAAAGAAGGAGGGGATTTTAAATAATAGAATTCCTAAATCCTTTTCTGAAACTGCCTTTGACAGCTGTAATGTCTCATTTACAACAGCTTCTGGAGCTATTTGACAGCGAAGACCCTCGGGAACGGGACTACTTAAAAACAGTCTTACACAGAATTTATGGCAAGTTTCTTGGTCTTAGAGCATTTATCCGAAAACAGATTAACAATATTTTTCTAAGGTAAGTGGAGGGTAATGGGGGAATAAAGAGAAGCAAAGTTGGTGTTTTTATGGAAGTATTAAGTAAATCTCAAATATCTGAAAACAGTATACTGACTTCTCTTTTTCCCTTTCTGCCTTCCTTCCTTCATTCTCCTGTCCTCTCTCCTTCCTCTCCCTCTACCCGCTTCCCCCTTCTCTCTTCCCCCTTCTCTCTTCCCCCATCTTCTCCTCCCACCCTCTTCCTCCTCTATTCTTCTTCCTCTCCCCCTCCTCCCCTCCCTCTCCTTCTCTACCCCTCCTCTCCCTCTCCTTTCCCCCTCCTCCTCCCTCTCTCCTGCTTTCCTCCTCCCCCTTCTCCTCCTCCTCCTCTCCTCCTTTCTTCTCCTCCTCCTCTTTTCTCCCCTCTCCTCCTCGTGTCTTACTCCCTCTCCTTCTCTCCTCCACCATCTCCTCCTCTCCTGGCCCCTCCCCCTTCTCCTCTGCTTTTCCTTCCTCTCCTCCTCTCTTCCCCCACCTCTCCCCCCACCTCTCCCTCCCCCATCTTCCCCCCTCTTCGTCTCTTCCCCCCCTTCCTCTCTTCACCCCTCTCCTCTTCTCCTCCCCCCTTCCCTTCTTTTCTTCCCTCTCCCTCTTCTCCTCTTCTCCTCCCTCTCCTCCTCTCTTCCCCCTCCTCCTCCCTTCTCCCTCTGCTCCTCCTCTTTTCCACCCTCTCCTCCAGGCGCGGAAGAGAGGAGGAGGGAGGGAAGATGAGTGAGAGGAGGACAACGGGATGCGCGAGGAGACAGGGGAAGAGCGAGGAGACGGGAAGGACAAGATGGGAAACGAGGGGGGAGAGGAGGGGAAAAGAGGAAGGAGAGGTGAGGAGGGGAGGAGAGCACCTGGCGGAAGAGAGGAGCAGAGGGAGAGGGAGAGAGAAAGAGGAGGAGAGAGAGAAGAGGAGAAGATA